CTGAACAGACTCTTCTGGTTGTTAATGGCCGTGTGCAGAGGATGCCTGGCATTGTCCAGATGTGGTCAGATAAGTAGCAGAGAGGCTGTTTTGATATCAATAAAATTGCCAAGAGTGCAAGAGAGGGTTTTCAGTTTTTCTGGTCCCTACAGAGGTTTCAAAGGTTGTCCTATTCCTCCAAGACGGCACATCAGTTCATGCTATTGCCAGATGGTTTGCTGTGTCTCCCAGCACAGTCTCAAGAGCATGGAGGAGATTCTAGGAGATAGGCAATTGCTCTATGAAAGCTGGACAGGACTAACAGCAGGACCGGTATCTACTCCTTTGTGCAACGAGAAACAGGATGAGCACTGCAGAACTACTAAATGACATCCAGCAGCCCACTGGTGTGAGTGTCTCTGACCAAACAATCAGAAACAGACTTCATGAATGTGTCTTGAGGGCCCAACATCCTCGAATGACCGCTGTGTTCACTGCCTGGCACTGTAGAGCCTAATTGTGCTTTTCACATATGAGAGCTTTTCACATCTGAGTCCATATGAAAGACATGAAAAGGTCTGTTATGCTGCCTGTAACATCATTTAGGATGAACGGTTTCGTAGTTGGTCAGTGATGGTCTGGGGAGGCATATCAATTGACAGACAGACCTCCAAAGGCTAGACAATGGCACTCTGACTGCCATTAGAAATTGGGATGAAATCCTATGACTCATTGTAAGACTCTACACTGGTGCAGTGGGGCCTGGGTTCCTGCTGGTGCATGACAATCCCTGGCCTGACTTTTTTAAACTTTGATTTGAGGAGGTGTCTTTGAGTTCAGTCCTCTCTAATTTTAATTATCAATTCAATTCAATTTTATTTATACAGCACCAAATCGCAACAACAGTTGCCTCATACAGAGGAAAAACCCAACAATCATATAATGAGCTTTATGAGCATTGGGAAAGAAAAACTCCCTTTTAACAGTCTTACAACCCGTCTAGGGGCCAGGTCATAACATGAGTGAAGCACTCGTCCCAACTCATCACAATGTGATAAAAAGAGGAACAACAAAACGGGAATGTTAACACTTCAGGGTGAGCCAAGGCCAAAATAATAAACAGAAGAATCTAAATTAATTCTCACATACCTAACCTTCCCAAAACCAGAGCCAAAAATAAAGACGGTGTCTGACCTCCTAAACTTACTCATAAAACAGGAGAAAACAGGTGATCAAAAGGAACGGCAGCTCACCCCTACCCACTCCACTTCCTCAACTGTTGCAGAGAAACTGCAGCCAGCAGCTGTCATGGGGTACTGCTTGGACATTGGGAGAAACGCGAGAACCTCTCGCGGCGCTCCAGCCTTCATTTAATGGGCGGGTCCCCCAGCTTGAACCAGTTACTCCAGAGCTGTATATCCACGCGCCAATCAAAGGCAGGCCCATGAACAGCTGAATCATCCTTTTGTCACTAACACATTACACAGTCCTTATCAGTATAGATATAGATGATTTTATCCCATTGAGATCTGATGTGTTTATAAAGTGTTCCTTTCATTTTTGTGAGAAATGCATCTATGCATACTGAGGTCAGACACAAGGTAAAAAATGCCAGCCAAATGCACAGTGATTCTTCATTGTTACTGCCATATACAGCCTACGAAAGGGTTCCATGAATGCGGCACAGAACTTAAAGTCTTTGTCACTGGAAAGCTGCACACATTCAAGTGTAATGGCAAGACAGATGTCTAGTGTAGACTCAGAGATGTAGCTTAAGTTGGCCTGATTCACCCACCACTCCATTCATGCTTTTCTTCTGTTCACTGAAATTTTCAGCGATTATGACATTACTGCTCTCTCACTGCTGCATCTTAGCCATGTTAATTAAAATGTATTGAAAAACACATTATTTTTGAGAAGCGCTGCTGTCTGTGCATTTTTGTTGCTTGTTGCCAATTTATAGATTAAGCTAATGACTCATTAGTGTTCTCACACAGCGTCATCTTTGTATACAGTTTTCAGTTTACTCATTTACGCCCGGGGTGACCAGAAAACTTACTTCATGTATTAGTGAAATGAATGTGAGTCATATCTATTTATGTAGTCAGTAAGGAAAAAGCATGTGAATAATACATATGTGCTAATTTTTAGACTAGATGTTCTAGTCAGAATAATAAATGAATAGTTCTTGATATCACTCAGATTGAGAGGACAGGGCAAGCCAAAACATCTGATGGCTATATGAAATTCTTTTGACATTTAGCTTTGTTGCTTAACCTAAGGAAGTAAATATGTTTAAGTAACAATTGTAGTTGCTGGCTTCTAAGGCTGATACACTCTTTGCCAGGCATATTGCATATAAATGACTGAAATCAGTTCAGAGCACAGTATAGCAATGAGCAGGCGGCATTCGAAACACATCTTGGCTCTGAGAGATTTGTAGTGCCGAAAGCAAGAAGAAGGTCAAAAGAGTTACAGATGAAGTTGGTATCAATACTAAACTAGTTGTTATTTACTTTGTAATCACCAAGTGTTTTGAAAAGAACACTTTACTAATGCTGAGTGAGGCGTCTGTTTGCTTTTGCATTGCTTTAAAATGTGGCGTCTGGTTTGTGGCCCTTACAGTTTCCACAGCTACAC